ACCTCCTCCCATAGCCCTGGCATCACGCCGGCACGACGCTTTCGCGGGACGCGCGAGCCACGAGGTGAGCGGGGCGAGAGCTGCCAAGCTCCTGCAAACCCGGCGAGTTTTTGGGTCTGACCCCACAAGTTTTGGGGTCCCTTCCCAATCCGCCCGGCTCCCCCCACCGGCAGCATCAGCCTTTCCCCAGCGGCTTCAGCCATCACCCTGGGATAACCCCCGGCGCACGACGAACGGGTAGCAGCTCCCCCACGTTTCTTTTCCACCCGAGCAGCTGTTTAAGTGTCTATTTTAAAACTCAGTTCCCTATTTTAAAACAGCTAACGAGACACCGATCTAGGCCGATAGACCTTGTCTCTACAAGGTCTGGGAGATGCTCGTCTATTGGCTGGGCTCCTCCTTCCCAAGCCCCGAATCTCGGCATGCCTGTCACGTTTCCAACACGCACAAACAGCTTACGTGGTAAAGAGGGAAGTTTTTAATCTAAGGGCCAACTCCTGCTCCCCTGCTGTGAAACACCGGCGGCACAGCCACGTGTTTCTAGATGGAGATGCATCAAGCAGCCAGGCAGGGGATGACGTTCTGGGTGGTTTTCTGTTGGTATTTTTTAATCCTCCCTTTGATTTTAGCAGGTCTTTTTTTAAAATTCCCCACCCAAGAGCAAACAAGGAGCTGGCTTGACTGGCACAGCTCCTTGCTGCTGCCTGAGAGAAGTCAGGCACGCATGGAGGGGGACTTTCAGAAAGCCACTGCCCATGGCAGAATGCGGCAGGAGTTCCCCATGCACCTCTGGGCAAGCCCAGCATCCCTGCATCCCTTTTACGTGCTCTCCGAGACGGTGCGCACCCCATCAAAGCAGTGGGGACCCCACGGAGAGGAACTCACAGAGGGGATCAGGCAGAGGGGACCCCACTCACTGACCTGACCACGGGCTCGGGGATGGCCTCGGCACTCGCTGGCACCTGGACACCCTTCTCCCACTCCTGCCTCCAGGGATCGGCCAGAACGTAGTACTCGTCGGGGCTCAGCTGGAAGGAGTCGGGGATCTTCATGGCTGTTATCAGATCCGTACGGAAAACCTG